TGGTGACGGGACAGCGCCACAGAGAAGAATAATGAGGCGCAAAACTAGTCAGGAATCTTCTCACAGTGGTACTTATAAGCCTCTTTCTACTTCAAACGCTTCGTCACGAAAAAGCAGCTTGAACAGTTTCCACGAAAGTAACCGTGAGGATGTTGGCCCTTCCAGAAGGTCCGACTACAACACTGGAAGAAAACTCCATGTTGGTTTAATGTATTTTTATTGGTTGGTACTCCTGCTGTAGCGGTCCTTTCGTTTACTTTTTTCTGTTTTAATTCTGTCACTCAGTTACTTGTAGAGTTCAAGTCAATCGCTTTTTGACCGTCCCACTACTATGCATGACACACTTATTGCCGAAGACTACGATTGGCGGCGGAATTCAAAGAATCGTGGTGGATATTCAGCCAGGCGGTATAATGATGGGGAGAACAATAATTCTTGTAGTTTTGGGTACCGGGGTGAACATTATAAATCAAGGCAGGAAAGTGGCGCCTTCCGTTCGGTAAACTCTTGTTTATTTTAGTTTACTTGTCCTGTAATAGACTCTAGTAAGTGTTGAATGTTTAATTAGTTGTATAGTTGGCACAAATGAAATCATCATTTGTTGTAGAATTTTGTGCGTAGTGAACGGTACAGTTCCTATCGGGAAAGTCAGAAATCAGCGGGACCATCGAACAGGAGGCGAGAGGGCACAGGTGGTGTTGTAAGTTTCTAACTTCTTTGTTTTGGTCTAAACAATGCAGGACTTCTTATTAGTAATGGGACGTGGAGAATTTTCTTATGAATTAATTGGAGGAAAAGAAGCAGGAGAACAAAAGAATCAAGTGAAATGTTTCGTGGATTAGTTTTGTTTAACTATTTGGAAACTTTCCTCGCTTTATTGCCGGGTAAAACCATAAGAATTTATCGGTATTTTAGACTTCTGGAGATGTAGATATTTATGGCTTCCGAAGGCTTAGTAATAGCAGAAGTGGTAAAGAAGATATGAAAAGCATGAAGGAAAAGTGTAGATGGAATCGCAATGAAAACAGACTTGTGAAAAGAGACCGTAGTCGGGAAGAAGGGACTGGTGTGGTTGCTGGATCAGAGGACAGCGAGATCCCTGTAATATTTGGAGGGGCTGTATTAGCTGCTCTGAAAGAGATTTCTATGCATTTTTCGTGTTTTTAACAGCGACGATTCGAAAATGAAGATTGAATATGTTTTAAATAATATTTCGTTAAATTTGCTTCTCCTGCTTTTTCTCAACTAACATTATCTTTGTGTTTGCCTGAACATTGTTTGGAAATTTGTTGTTGCTTTTTTTTTAAAGTTTTGTAATGTTTTTTACAGGGAGTAGATGAAGGTGCCAGTTCTTCAAAGAGTTCTGCGCAACCCGTGCAACATATGTCTTTCCAAGTTCGTTTTGTATGATTTATTATCAAAATATATTTAAGTCTTTGCTCCTGTTATGTATTATGACTCATAAGTTGTATTACTGTGATTTTTTTCAGGACCTTTGCGCAAGTGTTGATTCTTTGGAAATGGGATCATTTGACTGGAGCACAGAAGTTGAAGCGGAAGAAGAGAGAAAGGTGTGTTTCGGGTCTTTTATAAAGATTGTTGCTTTCAGCATTGCATTCTCTGAAGCCATTTTTGCTTCTCAAGCTTTTTATAGTAAGTTTTTTGCTGTAGCGAACTGTATTTACGCTGTCTTCTAGAGAGAAAGACTAGAACGCGTACAAAGAGAAGAACAGGAAAGGCTAGAAGCTGAAAAGGCAGCGAAGGAAAAAGAGCGTTCAAGATTCTCCCAGCAGCAGAATTGTCGCCAGAGAACTGATTCTTACAACAAAACCGTTTGCGGAAGCACTAGTAGAGGGAGACTGAGAAGACGAATAGGTACTTTGTGATTTTCGATTGTGCTTTAGTGCCAGCTTCCGCTTTTAAAAAAATGGAGAGCAAAAAGTCATTTTAAAACTTGTCGCTTGTACTTTCTTACTCGAGCAAAATCATTTTTTTCAGATAGCCATACAAGTTATATCAGTCAGGCTTCTAGTGCAGGAGGTAGCATTGAAGAAGTCACGGACGAGGATGTAGAAAGCGGCGAAAAAACTCCTACTTACGAGGATCAGGCTTCACATGAGTTGAGAAGTGATAGGTTCGATTATTCCAGAAGAAAACCGAACGGTAAGATTAATACGCCATGTACAGTATCGTCTTTACAGTATTTTTGCATTTCGCAGATGACAGGGGAAGGCAACCGGAAACTTATAGAAAATCGAATAAAAGGAACATCGGAAAGTTTGTTGACAGAAATCTGCAGTATCGAGGGCCTTTCAGACGTGACAGTTGCGAAAGTGACAAGTAGATATATATATTTTTTTCTTAAGTTAACCTCCTTCATCTGCGTTTCAACAGTCGTCTAGTGCTCTGCCTGCTTAATCTTTGTAGTCTGTAGCCCACAGCCTGAAATCTGGTAGAAATTTTTTCAGTGCGCGAGATAATGAAACTATTTCAATTTCTATTATCTTTGCCAAGTGAAGAGCGTTTTTAGTGTTTTTTGGCAAAATTTCACTTTTGCAAAACCTTAGATCATTTTTCTGGAAGACATCAAAGTTTTTAGTTTCAACTCTGTTTGTTCACTTTTTCAAAAGTTATTGCTCTGAGTGCAAAATATATTGTGTTTGTTTGGATGGTTAATGTGAATAGGAGCGGAAGCTTTTCTGTCACACATCTTTGTGGCAATTTTAAAGTTATTGATGTCGTATTTGCATTTCGTTTCCGTTTTGTCAGGTCTGTGTTAGTGAAGTCATTTATAAGGCTCTAGTAGCTTACAAAGTTTTGGAAGCTTTTTGGTCTTCCCACTGAATATCAAAGTTCCATGCTTATTGCATGATATTGCTAGTAGTACTACGATCACATTTAGCTTGGATTATTTTAGCTTTGCAGCTTTAATTTTGATTCTGGTGTTTCATTTCAAATTTGTATTTCTCTGTTGGGCAGAAGCAGCACATAAAGTTTTCGCTGTCTGTGTGAATTTGGTATTCTAGTGCTACTAACCTAAATTAGTTAATTTTTTAGAAAAGTGGTCACGTCTGGAATGATTATTGACCCAAACTTGAGAAGACAACCTGCCGGCGTGAATTACAATGCTGCAAATAGACCTCATAACCCGAATAAGTAATTAGTTGTTATATATTTAATTATTGTTTAGTTCACCTAGACTTTTCAAAAGAAATTTAGGAATTTGAAAAATTCTTTTATGTTGCTTTTTCGATATTTCGGTTACTGGATATTCTTACTTTTTTCTTTTGCAAGTTTTTTCCAATTTTATTTCTCCCTCTCACAATCGATTTACTTTCTTCATTGCATTTTCCAGCTTACCTCCTGGGGTGATTGCCGTAAATGTTTCCGTACCGCCACCAAATTTATCAGTTCCTCCTCCTAGACTCTCTAGGCCAGCTGCTCCATTCGTGAATAGTTTAAGTTCGCCACTTGAAAGTTCGAAAGTTATGAAACCGTTGCTTCAGAAAGCACCAAATCCAGAATATGTGAAAGCTGCAGACCCACAATTAGGTGCGAAGTAGTACAATTCTTATTTTATTATCATTCTGATTATTTGATTAGAAAACTAGCAAAGAATGTGTTCTTATTAGGTTGTATTGCAGAAAAAGTGAGTATTAGGACGTCAACTGGCTTGTCTGAACCAAAACGTTCGTCTAACAGTCATCCCACTGAATGGCCAATACATAAAGAAATATCTCAGAGGGAAGGTCCACAAATACAGCAGTTGAATGATACTATGTGCATTCTTTTTGAAAGGATTGCTGATTCTGCAGATGTTGCTGCCGGGGAACAACTATTAATTGCTAGGTAATTCTGAGTTGGAATAATTGAACCAATAGCTGGCAAGCCTTTCATATACTTGGTTGTTCCTGCTTAAGCGATGCATTGTCCCAGTTGTATATGGACATTATGACTCGTGAAATTGATTATACGTACGCCATGAATTTGGAACAACATTTATGGAAGCAGTGTTTCTACAAACCTATTGAGGCATTAAGAACTGCGAGCAATGCATCTGGTGAAGTAGCTATCGGTTTTCGGAAATCCTTGGCCGTCCTGCTGCAACAAGTCTGGTTTTTTGCGGTTTGAATGCCATTTTTTGGAATAATTATATGGCGGAGTCTTTCTGTTTATCTTTAACTGGGAGATATAATTTTGGTCTCAAATTTTTTTTTGGGTTTGTTCTTTTGTTTAGTTTAATTAGATGAAAGGTGAAAACTTAAATTGATAAAATCTTTATTACTTAAATTATATTTTTCTACGTAATACTTTTTAGATATCATTTTTTTGGTAATTTATACTTGGCTCATTTTTTCTTTTTGCAGTAGCATAAATATCATTCTCTTGTTCCTTATCTCTCAGTACACTATAATAGTGCTACGCATAAATCACTCTTTATTCTTTTAGGGATTCAATTTTTACATGAAATTACTGGAGAAATATGAAGCCGTGTTTAATTTTCGCTATGAAGATTACATTTATTGGTTAAACGGGCTCCCTTCTGATGATCTCACCAGCTGCACATTAGTTGGTTGTGGTACACGGTCTCCCTCTAATAGAACCTTGCGGGTAACTTTACAAGTTGTTTCTACCTATTAATTCCTCCCAGAACATTTTGGAAAACTTCATCACTTTATCTCTTTTGCTAATGTTTGCTAACTCGATTTTTTCATTTATGAAGTTTGTTCTCTATCTTGCACTACGTTTTTTTAAGCTAGCGTCAATGTCACTCCAACGATTAACTGTTTCGTTAGGCGATCTTCATCGCTACAACGCAATGGTTACCGGAGTTAAGGATTATAGACCCGCTCGCTTGTACGTTCTAATTTAAATCGAGTTTCTAAGCAATGAGTAATAGCTGAAGTTTGTTATTACTTCTTGTTGCTGATTGTTTTGTCAGTTTTTTCCTACAGAGGATTGAAATTTGTAGTAATTTAGCTATTCTTCTCTTTTGAAATGTCTATTTTCGTTTCAGATGGTATCAAAAGTCTGCTCAGCTGAGTCCCGGTAATGGACGTCCTTACAATCAGCTTGCACTCCTCGCTGTGTACGCTGTAAGTGCTATTGATTTTGAATAATAGATATATCACTTTAAATAAATTTTGAGCCTAATTGACAATTTAAGTTTGTTTATTTATTATTTATTGGTTGTTCCTCTAAACTGCCTAGTTCATTTTTATTTCCGTACAGTTTTAACCCTTCCGTTGATGCTAGTCTCAGTGAAGTTGGATAACTGTTTAGAAGTAATGTTATTGCTTTCCTGTCTTGGAAAAGAAATGAATCACTTTGATTTTTTCTGCAAATAATTCACCATCTTTTCTTAGGTTACGGTGATACTAAAAAATTCTATTCCCGTTCTTTGATTGGATAATTTTTCCTTCAGTGTGCTGGTGTAGATGTGTTTGTGAAGTTCTATTATATCTATATAGCTAAAAATACGACATGCATTGACTATCTTCGTTTTACTGCAGTACCCACGAGTGTGCGCTGAGTCACTTATCAATTCAGAAGATGCTTTTAGTCGTTATTTTTACTTGTGCTATTCAGTAATTGATGACTCTTTTACAGCTTAGGTTTCATTCCTTGAAATACTCTTTTCAAATTAGAGCTCGATATTTTCTTCCTGTTTTGTAGCAGACTTTTTTTCTAATAAGGAGGAATGTTAAATCTCTTCTCTCTTCACAAGAGATTTTATTGAATTTCAAGATCTAGTTTTCTTGTATTTCCAGCCGTGAGTTATTTGAATTCCCTCACTCTGTACCTGTTCTACTTTAGTTTTGACCCGAGTTTATGCAGAAATTGAGCTCCAGATGTTAGTGGGTCTTTTGTGCAAACCTCTGTAGCGATATTTTTCAGACGGAAGTGAGGAAATTTTCCTATGTTTTAGAGCACCCTTGTTGTTTCATGGTGGGTAATGTGACTTTCACAGCGTTGTGTGCGTGACATTGCATTCGTGCGATCTGGACCCTTTGTACAAGCCAACAAGTGCCAGATGCAAGTTGCTCGATTGTCGGGTCGATTTCCTTGAAATGGAAGGACTCTTTCTTTGAAAAATGCACGAAATTAGGAGTTGAAAAGCTTTTTGTTTGGTCATTTTCAGCGCAGTTTTGTGTAAACTTTTTGATTACTTGTGTTTTAGTTTCTTGTTTTGACATTAAGTAGAGGCAGGAGCTAACATTATGAGGCGCTTGTTCGAAATTGTGTTTGATTAATTTTGTTGTTTACCTCAAATACATGAAAAAGTCGGTTTATCTTTTTCGAAAAGGCTTTCAAACAGTATTTTAGCCTTATAGAGTATTCCCAATTTACCATGTTCCTATTTTTGGTCGTGATTCATATTTTTTAGTGCGCTTCACTGCGATTAAGTTATTCTGTAGTTTATAGATTAGGATCTGCATGTCTTGAGTTTTTTTTTGGTTCTACTGTCAGGAACATGCTTTTAGTAAAGTTGATTAAGTTGATCTTCTCGGTTCGTGTGGAGCTGGCCTGAATGTCTTTGTTAGAAGCTTTTGCGGAACTTTCGGCGTACATTTGCGTATCTTCTTCTGCGCTTACTTGATAATTCTAGATCCTGAGTTCAGTTGTTTTCTAATCTTTTTTGGGGGATAGGGATCTCCTCAAATGGAGGTTTTGTCAACATGTAAGCATTTTTTTAAACTCAAGTGAGTTATTGTTGAAAAATGTTCTATAACTTATCCAAAAATTTTTGTTTTGCGTTGCAGTGCTGAGAAACTTGTCGGCCTGTTGTTTTTTAAATAGGCTCATAAACTACGCATGGTCGTGGCGACAAGTGCACATCTAATTTTTGCATTCTTTTGGTGAAATGATTTTTAAAACTTTTTTAGTCCAAATGGGTCGACGTTATCTTTTATTATGTCCGGGCGTTAGCAGCTCGATACCCTTTTGAGACTGCACGACAGCCTCTTTTCACAGCTTTCAGTGACATGAGAAAGAAGGTTTTTATGCATTAATTATATTGTTATCTTTTGCGGATTATCATACGGCATTGTATTAGAAGTTTGCACACAATATTTAAATGTTTTTAAGGTTTATGAATATGAGACCGAACTTGACGAAAGGCTGGGACAGCGTATTTCGGAACAGGAAAATGAATTGGCTTGGGATGATAGACCTTACGAAATTTGGGTTACTCCCGATGGCGACGTCAGCAAATGGGACTATAAAGCCGGTTCTGCAGAAAGTGATAGCATACAAATTTTTCTGTCAGAGCCACATGAGACAGTGAGTAGACGTTTTTCAGTATCTCCACTTCTTACAGTTTTACGTATGCGTTCTTAATTTCACAAATAGGGTTTTCTAGATACGGTAAAGTTTAATAATTATTTCCAGCTTTATCGAAGAACTCTTGCATATATACTGTTTACTGCTGGTCTTTTGATTACAAAGATTGGTATGGAACGTTTTGAGACTATAAGCGAACGGGCGTTAATTCAACTGTCAGCACTGCTAACGCTTGAAAATTCTCCTCTTACTGCGCTTCAGTTAGTACAGTTGGTTTCAGTATTCTTATTT